AAAGTGATCAATGAAAAGAGAGCTTCTTCGCCGAAAGTTCTTGATGGGTGGCCTGTCAAGGCGACGACAACCACCCTGTGTAATGTCGTCTTCTACTCATCAGCCATTTCCTCGCTGGATCATTTCGCCATGTCCATATTTATTTACAGTACCGTATAAATAATAGCAAAACAAATCGTTTGAATTCTCCTCCATTAATCTCCCGTCCGTTTCTTGACTAAGACTTTTAAACACGGCTTAAATCATTCGGAAATACATACAGCTCATCAATTTTAATTGTGATTTTCAATATTCTTTTACGGCAGTCAAGTGCAGTCAAACATGTATTAAGCGGACACCATCCGAAAATGCACTAATTATATAATTAGCTTCTAAACATAGTACATACAGAGGTCACTCGTGTGAAAATCTAGTTAATGTAGATCATTTCTGCAGCAAGAGTACTTGCGTCATAAATGCAAAGACCAAATGACACTGCTAATAAAAATTAAAACAAAACACTCCATATGGAAATCGTTTCATCTTGAGGTCTCTAGTTTTATTATGCACAAAGTTCAGCTCATTCATAGTTTTTAGCATATTTATTATTTCCAACGAAGGTACTCAGCCTTTCTCTCTCAAGTCTCTCAAGAGCAGAATGGCACAAGACGTTATGACATAAATGAAACAACGCCTCTTACCCGACTGGTCGAACACGAGCATGACGTCCTTCAAAGACATGTATATATTGCAAACAACGTTGGCCAGCATTATAAACAGTGCCACATGAAATTATTGCTCAATAACATATTTCGAATGGTCAAATTTCACCTGCCATATTGAATTCATCTCCATGTTAAAACCATCAGCAAAAAGGATTACCTTGAAATGCCGAAAACCTGTTCTTCTAGCCTCAGCTTCCTCTCCGTATATCAGTTAACAAAACAAACCATGCTAAATAGCACGACTTCATATCCCAGGCAAAATTCTTTCACCCCTGGTGACTCGCCAGATGAAAATAGCAAAGGCAACGGACCTTTCTGCTACAAACTTGTTCTCTCACGTGCCACCATTACTGCTATTTTATCACCGGTTATAGTGGCGGGCAATTTGATGATTTGGGCATCAATTTGGAAGAAGGCGTTCGTGAGAACACCATTCCACATTCTGCTTAGTAGATTAGCGTTCACTGACTTGTGTAAAGGCCCGGGGGAGGCACTGCCATATATGGGCTATATAGGTATGTGCCGCTGTGAAGGGTATGGTTTTCAAGCA